AGACAGTACTAGTGGATAGATTTGATCAATATATATTATATGAATGTACAGAACTTCCAAAGAATAAAAATGATTAAAAATTAATAGCTATATCATAGCCGTACTGAGCAGAGGGGGGAAGAGATGAGGAGAGCTGGGAGGACCAGAGAGACATGTCTCTAAGAGGAGGAGGTAACATACGCGGCCAGTAATAGTCAAGTCTTTGTGGGAAGAAAAGATCCTTTTGGGAAAAATAAACCCCTCTCATGCTCCATTCCATTGAGACGACCCTGACGAAGACCCAGGAGGCTCCTCAGTGCTGTGAGTCCATCCAGTGACTTCATGCTGCTTGTACTCCAGTGGTCACCACAGCTGTGAACCATATCAGACCCAATGACACCCCCCCACCCCGTACACCATGCAGCACCTCAATGTGCCACAAATACAAAAACAAGGAGAAAAATAATATGCATGAAGAATTTCAATAAATGAGGTGTTAAACAAATTCTCATGCCATTGACACCATAGTTTTAGTCCCCTGGAAAATGCACACAAGAAAGTATATCTCCAATATATTAGACAAATTAGGTGTCACTGCATTTAAATTCCTAGAGATGTGCCCCTAGGCAAACTCCTTGGTTTCCTCCTTGGCATAGTAAACCATATGGTGTTTGCAGGGATCCTTTCCTTCAGACACAGCTGAGGTTGGATTGGCATTAAAATGGTCCTAGAAAAATAAACTTTCACATTCCAAAATTTTGATGAGTTTTAGGTGAACACTCTCACAGCTGCAGAAAGCAGTGAGTCAAAGTTTCCAAAGCCCCTTTTCTCTTGAAAAGACATGTAAATGTGCTTGGAATGAGGAAAAATATGGAAAGATCACCGGGTTCCTAGGCATTCAGAGTGAAGATCATTAAAATTTATTATTGTCATAATTTTCACAATATCATTCTCAAACCACTAAAATGGGTGCAATTCTAGTCACAAGAAAAAGATCGGACCACTTAAAAAATTATTTTTGAAATGTTGATTTTACGCAGCCAGCAAAAGGTCTGGGAGAAGCAGAAGTCATTTTCTGAAAAATATATTCCTCCACAGGGAAAATGAGGTTAGTGAGGCCTGGCTCTTCTCATGTGGAGTCACTTACAGCTGCTTCCACTACTATCAGGCAGTATGTCCCAATCTCATCAAATCAAATCAAACCCGCCAAGAATATGGAGATGATTTGTTTTCCTGCAAATTAAAACCACCACAAACACTGCTAGCAATTTAGATATGGCTGGATTACACATGTCATTGGAAAATGTTTTAACTCTGAGTTCCCAGAACACACTTGATTACTGCCATGAATTATTTGTGGGCATCCGTGATGCTAAATGAAGATGTGTACTCTGTCACCATTTAGAATGCTTGCACAGGATGAAAGAATGCTTAGGCAGACTTCAAGAGCACGCTTCTACGGGGGTTTAGAAGACAGAATCTGGTGGTCTACATTTTTCTCAGGGAGGAAGAACCTTGGAAAAGGCCTAGAAAAAAAAAAAAGGGCTGTAGCTGGCATGAGCCGAATTCCACACGGCTCTACATGTTTAATCATAAGAAAAAGAGACAAAAAAGAGCCCACGAATTAGCAGGCACCCTATTTAAGACAAAGACCTCTCCAAATGATCCAATGCCAAACACAGCCAAGCTCGCAAGTCGCGAAGAAATGAACTCATGCACGCCAGTAATGAATGACTCACGGAGGGGCAAAGTGTACTTCTGTGTTTCCAGAAAGACAGAAAAAGAGAATACATTAATGTTTACTGGACATTTGCAATGCAAGGGAACCCCACCCCCCATCGCCGTTGCCAAAACAAAACAAAACCAACCACAAGAGGTGAGGTGATTATCAATACAGCCATTTATTTTTAAAAAGGAAAGATATTTCTGCCAAGAGATAAACTGTCAAGTCTCTCCATTGGTTAAAGAACTCATGGAGGCCAGCTGTGAATTCTGATGTCCGCAACACCTTTAAACTTACCGGAAGTGTCATACACTGATTTCCTTTCATGTCTCATCCACTATGTGTCTCTCTCTAACAGCTCCGATGCTGACCTGTGTGTGTGTGACCTGTGGTATACCACTTTCTCAAAGACTGGATGGCAGCTCCTGTCTCAATCAGCACCACCCTGAGACTCGAGTGCACACACTTTCACCTTCCCTGGCAGAGAATCCCTTCCTTTAGTTTTCTGCTTCTGCTGACTGTGCAACTTTGTTTGTGACAACTATACTTTATAAAAAGAGCATTCTACACTGGTGACATGCACTGAGAACATCACGTACCATGTTGCACCTGGCACAATCCAATATATCACCTACTAGTTTATAGCCTGCTTTGGCAATGATAATTTATAACTTTGAGTTTCACATTTCATGGTCTCTCTCAGGACTTCATTCTTTCTGAATCCTCTGAGCATTTGGCTGTATTAACCACACCTCCCTGGAAATGGACTCCCCTGGAAACATTTTCCTAAGTCTACTACAGATCCACTCAGCCTTTAGCTCACTCCTCCACCTTAGCACAAGCCTTAGACACTAGAGTTCTCCGTGTGACCATCCTGTTTTATCCTCTCAATACTTCCTCCAATCTATACTCCAGACTGCAGTTTTCACGACACTGAATTCCTAGCTGTCAATCGGTATGGTCCAATTGTCCTTGGTATCTCCTAACTACATTTTCTACTTGTCTTTGGGTATCTCAAACTGAGAGCCCCCAAATGTCTCAATAAAACATGTAATAAGTCAAACTCATTTTACATTTCTCTACAAGTTAAACCCTCTTCCTTTCTTGGCAAGTGGTGCCAACATCTGTGGGGCATTGTGGGCAAAAAGACCTTCTAATCTGCCTTGGCTTTTCCTTACCTGGCTCAGTCCTAACGTCTCAGCATGTTACACGCCCCATCCATTTTGCCGTCAAACTGATCTTCAGACAACAGGCTATCACAGGCATGTTACTTTTTGCGAAGTTTCGGAGGTTTCTCCAAAAGCCAATTTCCTAGGCATGGCTAGCAGAGCCAAATGCTAAAGATATGGTCCAAAGACAGGCCAGTGGGCTGAAATTCATGAAGTTATAATGACCTTTACCAAAGCAGGGTCTGTACTGAGTGGGTCACATAGAAACACCTCAGTCTGGCCCGAATTTCCAGAACCGCCTTCCATTTCTGTTCTTTCTCCTCAGTATTCCCATTGTCTGTGGTTAGTACACGCTACCCCTTTTAGCCAGAACGTCCTTCTGTCTTTGGTCCACGTGGGGAACTTCTAGTTCTTGATTTTTGTTTGCCTGTTTGGTCCCCCCACCCCCAGCCCACCTAGTGCTGGGGACCAGTCCCAGAGCGAAGCGGTACACTATCACCCGACGCAATTTCCAGCCCTGCCTGGCAAATTTCATTCACCTGTCCTCCAAGGTCCCCTCAGACCTGTCACCTTAATCCTCCCTAACAACCGCTCCCCCCACACCCACACGTTCCCAGACGTCTCACCATTTCAGCACTGACCACTGAGCTCCACAGTCACTGCTGACTCACCACCTCACCCCGAACCCTTCCAGAGCAGAGACGATGTTATTCATCTTTAAACCACATGGTCTAGTTCAGTGCTTGGATCATAGTTGGATGCTCAATAAATCTGTGTTACACAGACAAATTAATCGAGCTTTTCCTGTTTGCGGTGTTCAATTAGACTGCAGCTTTATTACCACAGCAATGTGTGAGAACACATGCTACACATTAAAGAGCATGGCAGCTTCCAACGACACATCTGAAGTCTGGATTTCTACCGAAATAGTTTTAAATTCTATAAAAGTCTGAACACCACCAACTATAATAAAGATGTAGTTGACATTCTGCCAACATCATGGCTACCTTCCCTAAAAATTCACTTCGACAAAGCTCCACTTACACCATTTACTCACCCAGCCATTCACTACCCCTCAATTCACATCTATCTCTTCCAAAAGAATTCAGATAAGTTTTCACTCATATTCATCTCCCTCGTATCATCTCATAGAATATGGGGCAGATATCCAAGTCCATTATACTAAAGAATTTAAATTCTATATCACTTCCTGAGAGTGGAGACATTGTTTTTATTGTCTATCAAAACTGTACCCTCAACCAAACTTTTTAAATCAAAAGAGCTCACCTAGTATTTTGTGCCTAATATTTTCCAAGAAACATTAGATACTAGGCAGCAAAATTCAAAGTAAATTCTACAGTGGGATGCATTATATTGTTGCAGAATATGTGTGTATACTGTGAAGATGATTCTTTGCCAAGTCACTTTCTGTGATACTGAGAATTGAACCCTGGGCCTAATGCATGCCAGATGGGCATTCTACCACTGAGCCACACCCCCAGCTTTTGCCAAGTCACCTTCTGATTGGTTTAATAGAAAACTGAATGGCCAATAGCTAGGCAAGAGAAAGGATAAGCAGGGATTCTGGGGGAGAGAGAGAACTCTGGGAAGAAGAATGGCGAGTCACCCGCCAGACTCGGAGCAAGCAGGACTTGCCGTACTGAGGAAAAATAAAAGCCACATGGCAGAATATAGATTAATAGAAGCAGGTTAATTTGAATTAGAAGAGCTAGTTGGGGACAAGCCTAAGCTAAAGGCCAAACTTCCATAATTAATAATAAGTCTCCATGTCATTATTTGCAGGCTGGTGTTCCAAGAAAGTCCAACGAGAACAATTATTACATTATACTACTAACATTTATCCTCCTGTTTATTATCCTTCAGTCAATGAACGTGCAAGGAAACAAGTTACAAGGGGAAAAGTAGCAAATATCACACAGTGTGTACCTGTAGGCAGAGCGCTCCCGGCTTGTGCTCTTAGAGCATTCCCACGTACGGCGGACAGACAGACAGACTCACCCGGCTTGTGCTCTTAGAGCATTCCCACGTACGGCGGACAGACAGACAGACTCACCCGGCTTGTGCTCTTAGAGCATTCCCATGTACAGCGGACAGACAGACAGACTCACCTGGTGAGTTCTGGGGAGATGACACAGGAGAACCTCGCGGGGACTGACAGTAGCTGGGGTGGAGTAAGGCATGTGGAGGCACATATGACATTATCTCTTCCTCAAATAAGCTAGGGAAAGACACAAAATAGAATATACACATTAGCTAAAGAGGCCGAGAAAACCACTTCCACAGTGAGGAGGAAGAGGAGGAGGAGGAGGGGGAGGAGGAGCAGGAGGAGGAGCAGGAGGAGGAGGAGGCCTCCTGTGAAGCCTCTTGTGTTCTCCTCCATGATGATTTAACAGGTAGTTTCCTTCCACAGTTTCAGACCTGGAAACATCCATGTACAGAAAAAACACAGTTTTGTTGTGTGCATTTTTAATGTTCTCTGTAAGTAGTTATGTTTGAGTTTTACCCACCTCCCTCAATCAACAATACTGTAGTCTAATATCTGTGTGAATACATAAGGATCCAGGATATTCCTTTTGTTGGCTGTATATCAGGCTATTCTATGAACATACTAGTTTATTTATCCCTAATTTTTTTTTTTTAATATTTACCCTTTCCCCATGTGGTAGTTTGAGTGTAATTGACCCCATAAGCTCATAGGGAGTGGCACTAGGAGGTATGACTTTGTTGAAGTAGGTGTGGTCTTGTTGGAGGAACTGTGTCACTGTGGGAACAGGCTTTGAAGTCTCCTATGCTCAGGGTACTCCCAGTATCTCAGACCACTTCCTGTTGCCTGCAGATCAAAATGTATTCTACTCCAGCATCATGTCTGCCTGCATGCCACCATGATAATGGACTAAACGTTTGAAAATGTAAGCCACCCCAACTAAATGTTTTTCCTTCATAAGAGTTGCTGTGGTCATGGTGTCTCTTCAAAGCAATAGAAACCCTAAGACATCCCAATTGTCTGCTTTTTTTTTTATCATCAATGGCACCATGGATGTGCTCCTCTACATAGAATCTTCTGTATGTGTGAGTTTCTTGTGAACATGATATACACACAAAAGAAGAGTTGCTTAGTAAAAGCACATACCAACCCAACCCAATCCAATCTACCCTAACCCCCACAGCAAGCCCTGCAGTTCAACTAGAATTGTGGCTAGTTACATATTTACATATAGGATGGTATTTGACCAAACATTCACCCTGACATTTTGTATGCAGTTAAGACATCTTCAAAAAGCACACACACTCACTTTGGTGAATTTAAGTGTTTACAAAAAATGAGGGAATAAACTAAATCACCATCATACAACCGTAAAAAGTTAAGGACAATGAAACTTTATTTTAAGTGCATACCTAAGATCATCTACCTTAAAAAACAAACTAATATTATTTGAATTCAGTTCTTCTTATATTTTAATTTTTTATGAATAGTATTCTAATATAAACCTACATGTATATTTATATCTTCTAACAGGTACATGGATTTTTCACTATCTGCTTTCAAAGATGATGACATTTTCTAAGTGTTTAATCTGCAAAGAATATGAAAATGTATTTGAACTATGACAAAATTGGGGATGGAGTGATGGCTCACTGTTGGGAGTACTTGCTGTTCTTATAGAGGACCTGTACTCAGTTCCCTGTACCAATATGGTGGCTCACAGCCCTCTATAACTCTAGTACCAGGAGATCTGACTCCCTGGCCTCTGCAGGCACTGCATACACGCAATGTGTATACACACATGCCAGCAAAACACCCAGACAGGTAAAAAACAGATACATAATTCTTAAAAATATAAAAACATTTTTAGCCTTTTTAATCAGACATGATGTTGCCAATTTGTGTCCCAGAGAAGTCGTCTCAACAGAAACTTCAATCTCCCCAAACCGGATAGTAGAAGAGTGCCTCAGCCCCACTGGGCATCATCAGACATTTTAGGTGTTAGGATTCTGCCGCCACTCCAGCTGCATGACCGCACATGCGCAGTTCAGGAGCTAAGCAAGGGGTCTTGCATCTTACATCAAGCCTGTGCTGCGTGATAGCACAAGTACACTTGCACAATCATGCAATCAGCGCATGCGTGGCACAGCTCTGTAAGCCTACACGTCCAAATTCAACCATGTAGCATATGAGAAATTCATGTAGACAGTGATCCTTAACAAAGTACAAACATTTTAGCTATAATTAACTAAAATATTTAAGACTATACCATCTAAAGATTATTTCGTTAAAGACAGATGGAGAATAAGACTGTTAGCCATGGTCACACCATTTTGAAGAGCTTTTGGTCTGGTGTCACTGAGACCACAGTAATCGGAATTCCAGACGTAGTTTCCTAATCCCTGCCTCTGCCTGCTGCAGACACCTGCTAATGGCTGGTCACTCTGTTTATTCATCACCTGACGTTCTTTACCTACTACTCACCATTCTTCTTCACTCCTAGTCATGGCCGATTTCAGGCCAAAGGGACACGTGTCAACCTCCTTCCCACTTCCCCTTCTGCCCTATAACTAGCCCAGCGTGTGTGCATATGGGGGTTCTCGTTCTTAGGGATTCCCCTCTACAGAGCTTTTTTCTCCCAAATAAAAGCCTGTATTGTCTTAAGTTGCTTCTTTCCTTGTCTGCCTTTCCTGCTACTGACCTTTTCAGAGACGCCTGGTTTTTGTTTTTTATTAATTTATTTTTATAACGAAAGTATACGCTTTGACAGAAACATCATAGTCTGGAATTAACAGACCAATAGTCTTCCTGACTATCTGATAAGCTATACTGTTTTCAGAACTAGTTCAGTATACCTCAGTTAAAAGGGTCGCCTGATAGATTGAGAAGTGACACCCTGTCCCCAAGGGTCTTCAGAGTTAAGCGAAGAGAAACAGTTTGGGGGAGTGACTGCACCGTTGGAATCTTGTTTCATCCACAACAAAGGACTAGCAAGAAATATGGCAACAGACACTAGGAGGGAGAGAATCAGAGTCAGGGTCAGGAAAAAAAAACCCAAATCAAAACAAAACCAAACCCCACAACACCTTGGGGCCTCTGGCACTCAGGGATAAAGAACTCACTGCCTGAGTGACCAGCTGTCACTGTTGCCTTTGATCCCAGGGAGACCTCCAGGGCAGTTTCCCAACCAGTGGGTCCTGCAAAGCATTATTGTAGTTGTGATTTGCCTATGCTTGATGGATGATCTCAAACATGAGAAAGTTTCGTGAAAACTTTACAGTTGCCCTGCCAAAGTACTCTAAAATTTAAAACCAAACCCAATTTAACCACCGTGAAGGAAAATGCAATGGGTCAGTGCCGCGGAACTCCGTCAAACTGGCAGGACCACTGACCAAACTTCAGCCTTCTCATTTCCCAAACCTAAACTCTCAAAACCATAAAGTAAATAAGCTACGCCTAAAATCTAGCAAAAGGAGACAAAGCACATTTTAAGAAAAAAAAAGTAGAAAGAAAATATAGACATGACCTCTGCTCTGGGCTGAGGGGTGAGCTTCATCGATTTAGACGGCTACCTTCTGTCCCACTCAGGGAGTGGGACATTTGGTTGGTTTGTCTTTATAAACTTTTCCTTTCCCTGTGGTGTAAAAGCCTGAGTAAGCAAGTCTCAGGGTACTAGATATAATATATGAAATGAATTATTATGAAAGCTGCATCCTAAATCTTCAATGTGACAATTTCCTTAAGACTTTGAGGAGAAGGAGGCCATTTTTAGGCTATCAACACAGGTATATTATTTTCTAAAATGTTCCGCAGTATCTGACAGCAGAAGACTTCTACCTGAAGTCCCAGTGTTCCATACCTCAGTAACATGACCAGGTCTGCATCACTGGAAAGCCGCACCAATCCAGGGGTCCCTTCAGTTCGGATAAATTGTATCTTCTCCCTGTTTAGTCAAGGAAACAGGGCAAATGTATGTAGCAGGCTTTGGAATGTAACTTATTAGATAACCACACTTTCTATCACGGCTGCAGCATTTTGGGTACCTATTAAATGGCACCGTGCTATAGAACCTTGGGAACACAAATCCCCAACAGACACAGTCCTTGCTTTTGAGAAGAACTTTGTCGGGCTGGAATGAGGTGGTAGAATGCATGCCTAGCATGCAGAAGGTCCTGAATTCATCCCCAGCACTACAAAGAAAAACAAAAGCAGCAAAACAAAACATATAATGAAAGGAGCCTGTGGGCAGCAACAACTTCTAATGTTGGGAGAAAATAATTATTTTATTGCTTCAAACACTCATTATAGACAGACAGTACTGCTCCCAGCTAGTAAAACCAGTCCCCTTTCTGGGTTAAGGCCACCTGTGAGTTTGAATTTAGCAACCGTTTTAAAGGGTGGTTCCCTGGTCTTCAAAAAGCAACCACCCAGATTTGTCTTCTGCCCTTCCAAAGGTGTTGTGTAGGAACATCCACCTACTTTCCTGAAAATTGAACTTGTAAGTTATGTGTGGCAAGCTCTTTCATACTTGAAAACAGACAGTACCTGTGCTTGTAAAGAACATGGCTATGTTAAAAATGAAAAACAGAAACACTCTTAGTCATTAAGACTTGTAAAGCAGATTGTGTGTATAATGTGCAAATGTAAACAGACCTCACACACCAGATACAATGCTGTTAGTGGGTATGTGGATCAGTGGTGGCATGCTTGGCTGGTACACACAAGGCCTTGGGCTGGACCCTAATACAGTATGTATGTGCACGCGCGCGCGCGCACACACACACACACACACACACACACACACACACACTGCCATGATACATTATTTCTGTCATTATCCGTCATGTGATGACACCTTTGGTTGTACGAATTCATTTTTTTCCTTGTTCTTTCTCTCATTTATCTCATGTTATTTCAGAGCACACCATAGTGATGTATAAAAGGGGAAAATAAAAGTATAAGCTATGGCACTGAAACCACTTCATTTGGTCAAACACGGAAGCCACTCTGAGTGCTAAGGATAAGGCATTCTGAGAACTGTAGCATAAAACCGGATGCATCTCTGGTTACTCATTTAGATTTAGTTCTTATCGGTAGAGTGCCGCGTTGCTCTATTTGGTATTTTCACTGCATCTTAGGTTCGTTCCTAAGATCTGAGTCGCCTTATTAAGATTCTCTACAGAGTTGAAAGCCATGAGGGGAAAGCTAAGGTTCAACTGTCCAGACGAAAAGTCCCCGAACACAAAGAAACTGACTTGCCTCTAGCCACACAGCTTAGAGGGTTAGGGAAGAGGGTGCAGGCCCTGGTTTCCTCTGGATAGATCTATTTCACATTTATTAGTACAGGAAGCGCCCAACTTTTATTGTCTTTAGAAACTTTTCTCTTCTGTCCTTTATAGTCAGCAAGAGACTATGAAGACATGAGACTTGGACTTTTTTTTTTTTTTTTTTTAAGAAATATGCTTCTGATGCCCAGTTCCCTGCAAAGTCACTCCACCTTGAAGATCAGAACCAGGAAGGGCAGCATCCCAAGAGTGTTAGCATCACATCTGGAAGCACATGATGGAAATCAGGGCCCATTCATTATCTGGCGAATTCTTTTATAAGAGATCTAAGAATTAGCTTTAAAAAAAATCTAAATTAGAAAAAATATTATCTTGTAGAAAAATGAACAATTCCTTAACCTAAGAAGCCGAGTCCTGTGTAAGGGTGGATAACGATACGCTTTGATCGTGAAGCTATCTCTAACAAATATGCGCTTTATCTCTTCAGTCCATCATCACAAAGAAGCAAGGCAAATGGAGCAAAAACAAAGAACGGGCTGGCACTCTCCCCAACTGTGTTCACTGAAACTGGACAAAGCGATGATACAGATGCTGTGTTCTAGGCCGCAGCATGGCCTGCAGACATCCTGTGAATAAGAGGAACATCATATCGCTCATCTGAGTCACAAGGAAGACACAGTGAAGGGAAGGAAGGAGGCTGGCATTGGAGGCAGGATGTCAGGAGGGAAACTGCTCAACACTTTGTACATACTAACCACTAGGCAACAGAAACAACTGGTTTTGATTTTTCAGACGAGAACATACCGAGGCAAGCTGAGACTAGTTTTCTACCAGGCCAGTATATCTGTCACAGTGACAAGCTATGGGTCATGCTTCCAGGAGAAAGCACTAGAGTATACCATCTGGTATCTACCGAATTAAGTCTCAGTCTCTCTCTCTCTCTCTCTCTCTCTCTCTCTCTCTCTCTCTCTCTCTCTCTCTCTTCTTTTTTTTTTTTTCAAGACAGATTTTCTCTGTGTAGCCCTGGTTGTCCTGGAACTCATTTTGTAGACCACACTGGCCTCAAACTTAGTCACATGGTGATAAACAGTCATGACTGTCATCTACAGTATCCGAAATATGCTTCTATCATTTTCATGGTTTTGATCACCAAAAGGAGAAGACTCTGCCTCCTGAGTGCTGGGATTAAAGGTAAGAGCCAGCATTCCCAGCTCCTTAGTACTTTCTTATACAAACAGTCACACATCTTTTCTTCAAAGATTTCTCAAGCACTCAGTTTGTGCTGGGCACAGTCTTCCAAAGACTTGGAATCCAATAAAGAAAATCACAAAATCGTCTGTCCAGGAGCTTTATGGTGCTATAGAAAACCAAAGGCAATTTCCAGTATTATATAAAACCATGCCAAGTGCTCTGTTCATCTAATTGAACTGTCTTAGGCCTTAGCTGGAGTCCTTTCTAAAGCCTTTTCATGTGAAAACAAAAACGAGCCTAGTTTATCGATAATTAAGAGAATAGACTAAGGGGGAGGAAGAAAGAATTCAGCAGAGTCTCAGAAATGGCACATACTTCCCAAGAATGAAGAAGGAAGTGCTCCTTGGTAATCAATGATTTGCCCAATATCCTACAGACTAGTGTTCCTCAAACTGCTACCTTCATCTACTAGAAATCTGCAGACACAGTCCCAGATTCTGCAGCAAGTTTTAAGCGTCTTCCTCTTATGGTGATCAAAACCACGAAGATGAGAGAAACATATTTTGGATACTGTGGATGACAGGCAGGACTGTTTACCACCACGTGACTTCACGTCCCATGATGTGCAGTTGCAAGCCAAGCGCTAAGCAATTAGACACGGACTCTTCAAGTGCTAGTGAGCAGGGCTGTCCGCCCTTACGCCACCAGGGCCTTGGTGTCGTCTGACAACAGTAGCTGTTGGCTGCTCACACACGATTCTCTTACCGATTGGAAAGACAGAACTTCTCTATTGCACCATTAATTTATTATCATGAAAATGATCAAGGGAAGCTAAGTAATATGAGCTGCCACAGGCTAAAGAGAAAAATGAAGAGATGGACTTACAAAGGATATTATACAGTTATGCTAAATAATGCATGGAAGATGGCATGTCTTAGTCTACGGAAAGCTTTGCAGTATCCTGCAAATAGAAAAGTGGTGGTGGGATTCCCCCACCATGGGATACATGCCCTAACACGTTCACTGTGATATTTGGGGATATTCTAAGTAAACTGGTGGGCTAACCCAATGAGCCAGTTAATATGAGTGAGTTTTCTATGGTGGAGGGAAGATGGCGGCTGGGAGAGTGCCACGGACGCATGGCACAGGCCATCCGAGGCCAAAGGAGGACTGAGTCAGACACTGGAGAAACACAAGACAAGTGGCTCTTTCTACTGGCAATAGTCTCTACGTCAATTATTTGACTCCCGAAAAAACCAAAACAACAACAACAAAAACAAAACAAAACACCTCAGGTAAAGTAGTAATTCTACTACCTTTCAGCATTCTGGCAAAGGTAAGTCTAGAATCTGTGTGTATCCGTTGAACATGTGATAATGCTCTACCCTTGGACAATATATCAAGTGGATCCTGGAAGCAGGGATACGGGACAGGAGCTCACCCGCCCTCTCCACACATCACCCTGGTAGTGCAGTACCTCCAGAAATAGCACACCTTTCAGAAGACTTACAAAAAAAGAATTAATTTACATCATATTAATTTTCTTAGTTTTAACTTAATTTATACATCTCTTGGTTTATGGTTCATAAAAATTATAATCATAGGAAATTGATAGGCATTTTATATTTAAACATATTTAAGTTTCTTCAGAATAAAAGTGGCTGCAGTCAACGTGATTGACCTACAATACTTCTTTTCCTTTTACAAAATGAGGTTTTGACTCATATTAATTTCCATAAAGCTACTTAGTATTTGGAATATAGTTTTACTATAATTAGAGGATTCTGAATATTACTTTAATATATTTATTCAAATTTATTCTGTTAATGTATAGAATTGAAAGGATCCTAAAAAACAAAAACCAAACCAAACCAAACCAAAAAACAAACCAAAAAACCCTTTTGCCCCAAGTAGTGCACAAGCTTTTAATCCCAGCACTCGGGAGGCAGAGGCAGGCAGATCTCAAGTCCAGATCTCAAGTCTACAGAGTGAGTTCCAGGACTGCCAGGACTACAGAGAAAAACTCCTTCTCAAAAAAGCCAAATAACAACAAAGAAAGAAAAAAAAAAAAAGAAAGAAAGGATCTTATTCAATCTTAGTGGTTTATAATGAAGATTATAAATTCCTTTTGAGATATGAGTTTCTTGAGGGCAAAGGTCCGTCCTCCTATATGCCTCTGCCCACATGCTTCACGGTGTTTCATACATGGGAGAGCTCAGTAAAATACCGGGCACATGGTCAGCGAATACCTGAATAACAGACTCCTAACACCGACACTCCATGCTGGCAATAAAGAATATTGCTATCAATTCCTGCTGTGGCAGGAAAACAAACACAATCAGGGGGCTGGCTTCAGATTCCAGACTAAACTGGAATCCACCTAGGACAGCGAAGAGGCAGGTATGGAAGAGGTTAAAGGAAAAATGCTAAACTGCATTAATGACACGAGCAGGGAAAAGTCGCCTGT